TGCTCTTTTTCTTCCTTCCAGAAGTCTAGACTGGTTGTGGAAAATTTCTGCTGCATAAAATTTCATACTGGTTTCTGAAAGAACTAGCCTGTAAGCATGGTAGCCACCTTTTTTTTTAAAAAGAAAAAAAAAGGGTCTTGCTCTGTTGCCTAGGCTGGAGTGCAGTGGCAGTCGTGGCTCACTGCAGCCTCAACTTCTTGGGCTCAAGTGATCCTCCTGCCTCAGTTTCCCGAGTAGCTGGGACTATAGGCATGTATAACTGTGCCTGACTAATGTTTAATTTTTTGTAGAGATAGGGTCTCACGGTGTTGCCCAGGTTGGTCTTGAACTCCTGGCTTCGAGTGATCTTGCCACCTCTGCCTCCCAAAGTGCTGGAATTACAGGCGTGAACCACTGCACCTGGCCCACCTATATAGTTAGTGTACTTCTCAGGCAGCAACCAGAGTCAGAAAGTTCCTGACCTTACACAGTTATTTTTCAGTTCTAGTTTCTCTTCAATTTGTTGCCTAAAATTAGTTTTTAATAAATAAACCAGTGAGAAAAGGGTAGTCCGAGAATAGATTTTGACTTCTGTGATCTGTAAGTTATCTACAAATTTTTGTCTAAAAAGTATTATTAAAAATTTTATATATGATAGCAGTAACTTTGAGACCAACCATGATTTTTGCTTCCTTTTTTTTTTTTTTTTGAGACAGAGTCTTGCTCTGTTGCCCAGGCTGGAGTGCAGTGGCGCCATCTCATGCCTCAGCTTCCAGAGTAGCTGGGATTATAGGGATTACAGATGTGCGCCACCATGCCTGGCTAATTTTTGTGTTTTTAGCAGATACAGGGTTTCACCATGTTGGCCAGGCTGGTCTCGAACTCCTGGCCTCAAGTGATCCACCTGTTTTGGCCTGCTTCCATTTTATATAAGCTTAGGATTTGCTTTACAATGTCGTGAATATTTTCATTTTAAAGAAAGTTGAGCTTTTGGGCCCCTAAATGCATTATCAGAGTTGTTCCCTAGCTTTTTGCAAGCATAGAATAGGGGTTTGGGGAGAAAAGTTAGATTCTGTTTTAGGACTAGTTTTGCTACTTAAACAATTGAATAGCTCCAATAATATTAAATCTAGATTAAATATATGTCCACTGCTCAAATTTTATTTCCTACAAAGTGTTATTCTGTTTATTCCTTCAATGTGAATTCTGACATCACTGAAATACTCTGAAAAGCACATTTGTTTTTCTTGGGTGGTTTCTGTATGAGTTCAGAGATTTCTGTAGGTGTAAAGTTGTAAAGTCTTGCCAACATGCACTCGCTTGAATTCATCTGCAGTGAATGTCATCTTTACTGTTGCTCAATTACTTTAGTTTGTTGGAATGCTTCATCGTTCAAGCTTAGTCTCTGTTTGACACACTTTGGCTCATTCAGGGTCTGTCAGTCTGAATGGAGTATTTTCTGATAGATTTTCCTTTTACACCTTTTCCTAAGCAGAGATTTTGCTATTAAAAAAAAAAAAAAAAAAAAAAAAAAAAAAAAAAGAAAACAAAACAAAGTCCCGAAACAAAAATCTGTATTATCACAGGTGTCTGAAAAGGCATTTGTTCATTGAACCAATAACAAGTAAATGCCTGCTGTGTTAAAAGTTGTGCCTAAATTGCAGGAATATAACCATAGTTTAGACACAATTCCTACCCTTCTAGGAGGCCTACATTCTAATGTATACAGAAAAGTTACAAAATTCTTTTAAATAAAATCTTGTTAAAGTGCTATGAAGTAAAAGTGCAGTGTTTAATGAGAATAACAGGGGACCTAATCTGGGGAAAGGCATCCCAAGTTGAGCCCTGAAGAAAGAGTAAGAGTTTGACAGATAGTAAAGATAAGGAGCCAAGTTTGCATTTTATTAGAAATGCAGTTACTTTTAGATGCTATTTTCACAGATTTTTAATCTTAAAAGTTAGTTTTATGGCATGCGATTTGGTAACCTTTATATTTTATGTGAATGGCACTTGGGTGTCTTTTTTTTTTTTTTTTTTTTAAACAATTGAATAGCTCCAATAATATTAAATCTAGATTAAATATATGTCCACTGCTCAAATTTTATTTCCTACAAAGTGTTATTCTGTTTATTCCTTCAATGTGAATTCTGACATCACTGAAATACTCTGAAAAACACATTTGTTTTTCTTGGGTGGTTTCTGTATGAGTTCAGAGATTTCTGTAGGTGTAAAGTTGTAAAGTCTTGCCAACATGCACTCGCTTGAATTCATCTGCAGTGAATGTCATCTTTACTGTTGCTCAATTACTTTAGTTTGTTGGAATGCTTCATCGTTCAAGCTTAGTCTCTGTTTGACACACTTTGGCTCATTCAGGGTCTGTCAGTCTGAATGGAGTATTTTCTGATAGATTTTCCTTTTACACCTTTTCCTAAGCAGAGATTTTGCTATTAAAAAAAAGCAAAAAAAAAAAAAAAAAAAAAAAAACAAAACAAAGTCCCGAAACAAAAATCTGTATTATCACAGGTGTCTGAAAAGGCATTTGTTCATTGAACCAATAACAAGTAAATGCCTGCTGTGTTAAAAGTTGTGCCTAAATTGCAGGAATATAACCATAGTTTAGACACAATTCCTACCCTTCTAGGAGGCCTACATTCTAATGTATACAGAAAAGTTACAAAATTCTTTTAAATAAAATCTTGTTAAAGTGCTATGAAGTAAAAGTGCAGTGTTTAATGAGAATAACAGGGGACCTAATCTGGGGAAAGGCATCCCAAGTTGAGCCCTGAAGAAAGAGTAAGAGTTTGACAGATAGTAAAGATAAGGAGCCAAGTTTGCATTTTATTAGAAATGCAGTTACTTTTAGATGCTATTTTCACAGATTTTTAATCTTAAAAGTTAGTTTTATGGCATGCGATTTGGTAACCTTTATATTTTATGTGAATGGCACTTGGGTGTCTTTTTTTTTTTTTTTTTTTTGAGACAGAGTTTTGCTCTTGTTGCTCAGACGAGTGCAATGGTGTAATCTTGGCTCACAGCAACCTCTGCCTCCCAGGTTCAAGCAATTCTCCTGCCTCAGCCTCCCGAGTAGCTGGGATTACAGGCATTTGCCACCACACCGGGCTAATTTTGTATCTTTAGTAGAGATGGAGTTTCTTCACGTTGGTCAGGCTGGTCTCAAACTCCTGACCTCAGGTGATCCATCCGCCTTGGCCTGCCAAAGTGCTGGGATTACAGGCATGAGCCACCGTGCCTAGCCATGGCACTTGGGTTTTTAAGTTTTGCCTAAGGTACTTTCAACAGTGGTGTAACTTGATTTTTCTCTGTCAAGGGGTAAGCTAGTCTTCAGAATTGTGGCTTGCGTTGAGGCTAGATATAAAGGAAAACAGTAGGAGGTGATAGGGTGCAAAATGGTCAGACTTCTGTTACTGGAAATATCAGTAATAGCTTGCCAAGAGGTCAAGTTACTTGTGTCAGAGATGGTCTCTGAACTATTGCTGCATTTCTTTTTCTGTCTCAGAAATACTGATTGAGAGACTTTTTCATGAAGGAAAGATGACTAATGGTCTCCTTTTTGTTCTTTACCATTTAGTGCTCTAGTTTTTCACTTAAAAATTAAGGCAGTAATTCAGTTACCATAGTCAACTCTTATTTTTCAAACTGATTTTTATTATAAGGATTAATTCAAAATTTTTCTGCCTTCTAAATCTGCAAGTTAAAATTATTGCCTTAGAAATTTATACTGTGCTGATCCTGGGGTTTAAGCATACTTGTATTTTAATTCAAGAACCTAAAAAATTTATGGTAGTAACAGTTACTATGGAGAAATTTGATAACTTGCTTTAGAAACCATTGTTGAGCCAACTGGGACATGTTTCCTTCTTTTGTATTAAAGAATATACTTTTGCTAAGCCTAACTTGTTATAATAGAAATAGTCTTGTCTACTCATTATATGTGCTTGGTTTTGATTTTATAATCTTAAATGTTAAAATGTTGCCCAAAATAGGCCAGGTGCGGTGGCTCATGCCTGTAATCCCAGCACTTTGGGAGGCCGAGGCTGGCGGATCACGAGGTCAGGAGATCGAGACCATCCTGGCTAACACGGTGAAACCCTGCCTCTACTACAAATACAAAAAATTAGCTGGGCGTGGTGGCAGACGCCTGTGGTCCCAGCTGCTCGGGAGGCTGAGGCAGGAGAATGTCATGAACCTGGGAGGCAGAACTTGCAGTGAGCCAAGATCATGTCACTGCACTCCAGCCTGGGTGACAGAGCGAGACTCAGTCTCACCAAAAAAAAAAAAGAAAAAAAAAGTTGCACAAAATAGTTGTAATCACTAAGTAGACTTTAACAGAACACTTTGAATTTTTGTCTTTATTAGATAGTATATTAGTCTGTTGTCATGCTGCTGATAAAGACATATCCGAGACTGGGTAATTTATAAGGAAAAAGAGGTTTAATGGACTCACAGTTCCACGTGTCTGGGGAGACCTCACAATCATGGCAGAAGGTGAAAGGCGCATCTCACATGGTGGCAGACAAGAAAAGAGAATGAGCCAAGGGAAAGGGGTTTCCTCTTAAAAAACCATCAGATCTCTGATACCACAAGAACAGTATGGGGGAACTGCCCCGATGACTTAAGTTATCTACTGCTGAGTCCCTCCCACAACATGTGGGAATTATGGGAGCTACAGTTCAAGATGAGATTTGGGTGGGGACACAGCCAGACCATATCGCATAGCAACAAATTTAAATAACTTTAATTTGAAGCATTTTACTACAAATTAATGATAATCGCTTTGTTTGGGATGCTTTTGGTCCCTAAGGAATAAACTCTTAATTGTGATCAGTTATTCACCATATATACTAGGAATTGAATTACTCAGAAAGCTTCATTTTAAAAATACCTTGTTCTCTTTTAAAAGACAAGCAGTATAGTAACAATTTGGAGGTTAATGCCTAGAATGTTAAATAATATGTACAGGTGTCTCTATGTAAACTTAAAATAAGCTTTTCTCTTGACAGGAAATGCACAATTTTGAGGAAGAGTTAACTTGTCCCATATGTTACAGTATTTTTGAAGATCCTCGTGTACTGCCATGCTCTCATACATTTTGTAGAAATTGTTTGGAAAACATTCTTCAGGCATCTGGTAACTTTTACATATGGAGACCTTTACGAATTCCACTCAAGTGCCCTAATTGCAGAAGTATTATTGAAATTGCTCCAACTGGTATTGAATCTTTACCTGTTAATTTTGCATTAAGGGCTATTATTGAAAAATACCAGCAAGAAGACCATCCAGATATTGTCACCTGCCCTGAACATTACAGGCAACCATTAAATGTTTACTGTCTACTAGACAAAAAATTAGTTTGTGGTCATTGCCTTACCATAGGTCAACATCATGGTCATCCTATAGATGACCTTCAAAGTGCCTATTTCAAAGAAAAGGACACTCCTCAAAAACTGCTTGAACAGTTGACTGACACACACTGGACAGATCTTACCCATCTTATTGAAAAGCTGGAAGAACAAAAATCTCATTCTGAGAAGATGGTCCAAGGTGATAAGGAAGTCGTTCTCCAGTATTTTAAGGAGCTTAATGATACATTAGAACAGAAAAAAAAAAGTTTCCTAACAGCTCTCTGTGATGTTGGCAATCTAATTAATCAAGAATATACTCCACAAATTGAAAGAATGAAGGAAATAAGAGAGCAGCAGCTTGAATTAATGACACTGACAACATCTTTACAAGAAGAGTCTGCACTTAAATTTCTTGAAAAAGTTGATGATGTACGCCAGCGTGTAGAGATCTTGAAACAAAGACCACTTCCTGAGGTTCAACCTGTCGAGATTTATCCTCGAGTAAGCCAAATATTGAAAGAAGAATGGAGCAGAACAGAAATTGGACAAATTAAGAACGTTCTCATTCCCAAAATGAAAATTTCTCCAAAAAGGATGCCATGCTCCTGGTCTGATAAGGATGAAAAGGAAATTGAATTTTTTAAAATTTTAAACATTGTTGTAGTTACATTAATTTCAGTGATACTGATGTCAATACTCTTTTTCAACCAACACATAATAACCTTTTTAAATGAAATCACTTTAATATGGTTTTCTGAAGCCTCTCTATCTGTTTACCAAAGTTTATCTAACAATCTGCATGAGGTAAAGAATATACTGTGTCACATTTTCTATTTTTTGACGGAATTCATGTGGAAAATAGTTTCTCATTGAAAACGTCAATCTGAATTGTTTAAATGGGCTCATTCTGTACACTGCTAAATGAAAAATAGGGTGGCAGCATGAATAAATAGCAAACTAAGCTTTATTAGTGCTGCAACTAATATAAACAAAGTTTATATTTGTTGCTTTTGGTTAGCAATATGTCAAAGTTAGAAATATCTGAAATATTCAAATCTTTGGGAAAATCTAGTAACTAATTTGAAAAATACACTGTCTCATTTTTATCGGCTTTATGAAGGTTGACATAATGTTGCTGTGACATTTAAACATTCTTGTACCAAGTTAATTGGCTTTACAGTTCTTTATATATATAGCAAAATCCTGAAAGTACGTATACCTTTATTTTGATATGGCTTGAAGCTTTTGAATGGGTGAATAGGATGATAGGTTTTAAAATCAAGCAACAAAGTCTTAAAGTGATAAGGCATTGCTTAAAGATCTTTTGATCAAATATACCTGTGTTTTAAATAGTTTAAGAGCCCTAAATGTTTATCACCATTCACTCCAAATAAAGCTATTGCTTTTGGATAACTGTTCGGGAACAGTGGCTTTTTAAAAGAAATTTTCGAGACTGGGTCTCACTTTGTTGCCCAGGCTGGAGTGCAGTTGTCTGGTCATGACTCACTGCAGTTTCGACCACCCAGGCTCAATTGATCCTCCCGCCTCTGCCTCTGATGTAGCTGAGACAAGGCACACACCCCCATTCTTGGCTAATTAAAAACATTGTTTTTTGCAGAAATGAGGTTTTGCCATATTGCCCAGGTTGGTCTCAAAGTTCTGGACTCGAGATCTGCCCACCTTGGCCTCCCAAAGTGCTGGGATTACAGACATGAGCCACTGTACCTGGGGGCCAGCATTTTTAATACTTGTCATATTCTATGTTAGTGTGAATTTAAGATTGTATTTAACTTTTCTGCTCATCAAATCAGTTCTTGGATTAAAAACTCATTCTTACTAGAACAGAATCATGTTGGTAACTTGGTCTGCCACAGGTTTTGATGGCATCGTGGACTTTATTCATCTTTTTTATTATACTTTAGGTTCTAGGTGTATACATGTGTATACATGTGTACAACATGCAGGTTTGTTACATATGTATACATGTGCCATGTTGGTGTGCTGCACCCATTAACTCGTCATTTACATTAGGTGTATCTCCTAATGCTATCCCTCCCCCCAATATGCCCCAGTGTGTGATGTTCCCCTTCCTGTGTCCAAGTGATCTCATTGTTCAATTCCCACCTATGAGTGAGAATATGCGGTGTTTGGTTTTCAACTTTATTCATCTTAGCTCATTTAAATTTTCTACCACATTCCCTTAAGCTAATGCAAAAGTACCAATAACTTAATCTTATATTTGCTTTGCTTAAGAGGGCCTATTAAATCAAAGCCTTTTAGTTCCCTTTAACAGGGACTGGAGTTACGATGCATGTGTTACGACTTTTGGCCCACTGTTCATGCAACCCTAAGTGCAGGTTGATTTGCTTTCCAGAAATCCCAAAGGGGCTGCTCTTGGATCACTGAAGAAGAGCCTTATCTAGTTCAAAAAGACGTTTTGGGTCAGATTAGACAATGCTCCTGGCCCTACAGATTACACATAAACTATCATAAATAAATACAGCTTTTCAGGGAACTAGTCCTAAAAGTCTTATCTGCTGAGAACAAGTCTTAACACTAAGATGACGGTATTATATCAATTTATGATTAGTATCAGACTTACACCTAGCACAATTAACTATTGTGTGGGTAAAGAACATTTAAAGGGCATAGTAGAGGTAAGGAGACACATATTCAGGTAGAGATAAAAATACTAAGTTGCATTGATTACTTAAAATACTAGTCACACCATAAAAGTGCCCTGTAGTTTGAAAAACACATAAGCAATGAAATGTATGTTAGCCATTATGTGTTAAGCTACTTAATCTCTCATATCTGTGATGTGAATATTTTTAACCCCCACTTTTTGTAGATGAGGGAACTGACAAGTGACTTGCCCAAGGCCATATAGCTGTGGGAGAACCCATGCATTCTCTTTTCAGAGTTCATGCTATCACTCAACTTTAAAGAAGTAGGCCAAGATTAATGTTAATAAGGGTTTATAATCTATAAGAATAGCTAAAAACATAAGTATATATACCATTTTAGATTTGACATTATTTTGTATCTTGCTAGTTTTTAGGAAGACTTCATTTTGTTAAGTATGCATATGGTTGAATATGAGTAACTGGTTCTTATACTGCTGTTTTGTATTTTTACCAGCAGGAAGATTGCAAAAGTTAATGTGTATAAATCTTGAAATATTTCTAAGTTTTATGTATAACAAAATACATATTTTAATAAACACCTTTTGATATTTTATTTGCACTGTCTTAATGAGACTTCCAAACTCAGGAGTGGTAGCTATGGGATTTTCACATGGATTCTGGGTACTTCTATTCTTTGAAACTTAGTACTGCAGGCTGGGTGTGGTGGCTCATGCCTGTAGTCCAGCACTTTGGGAGGCTGAGGCAGGCAGATCACTTGAGGCCAGGAGTTTGAGACCAGCTTGGCCAACATGGCAAAACCCCACTCTACCCAGAATACAAAAATTATCTGGGCAGTGTGGTGTGCACCTATAGTCCCAGCTACTCGTGGCTGAGGCACTTGAATTGCCTAAACCCATGAGGCGGGGTTGCAGTGAACCAAGATCTTGCCACAGCACTCCACCCTGGGTGATGGAGTGAAACTCTCAAAAAATCTGAGCTCTACTGCATTGGTTATGAAAACATAATAAAGTATTAAATTCTATTCTCCCACCAAATGAAAACACTTGAGATTATCATTATAGCATTTTAAACTTACTTTTCCCTTATATATTCTTTTTTTTTACTTTTCTTGAAAAAAATTTTAGAAAATGGCAGTTAATAAAAGGCACAAACAAATCAACAGGGACATACTAGTGGAAAACACAATATAAAACTAAAAGGCCATTGGCTTGTTTAACTGGTTAAAAGCACAAAATGTAACAGGCAGAAAGTCTGTTTCAAACAAATTAAAAAGCTATGTGTTTTTTAAATTCTCCCCAAATCAGATACATACACACCCACAAAAAGTGTGTGAAGGAAAGCTGTCATACACAAGAAGTTGTATCCTGAATTCTTCAAGGAAACATATTGAAATAGGAATTAACAGAGTCAGCAACAGATTAATAATTTTTAAAAATTGAGTCTTAAAATGCTACATGGCCCAAAGCTATACTATATAAAGTACTGCTAGGTACAAAAGAAAATGTCTGTACAGCTTTTAGCAAAACTGCTTTCTCAGAAAAGCAAATTAAAATAATGCAATCAGCAGATCAAGGAGACTATAGACATCAGAGCTACAACTTCTCATTTCTGTGTCAGAAAATCCTATTTATCCAGAATAGACTAAAATTTCAGGACAAAACAGGGACTTAACATTTCTTACTTTACCCAGTTTAAGTTCATCTCCCCCACCCCCCAAGCCAGTAATTCAGCAAGATCCAGCAGGAAGAGGGCTACTTTTAGAATTCGCTATTTTACTTTTCTATGGCGAGACTGTCATGGAGCCTGGATATTTCAGGCTCATACGCATCCAAGACCAGTGTCCCACTGTGGTCAAAAAACTTAGCAATGGACTTGGTGAACTTGGCTTCCCGCTGCTGCTTTGTTCTCCCACTGATGAAGGTCGGCTTCAAGGTGTATTTGTCATCAAACCTTTTAAGACCGGAGGACAGCTGCCAAATATTATCAGGGTCCATTCCTGTAGGATCTTTCCTGTGGGCCATGAGACAGATGCTCTTCTCCTTATATGAGGTATAAATGGTCAGAATCCCCATCATCACAAAATAGGATATGACGCACAAAGCCAAAACGGGTTTGGACTCTGGAAAGGGGTGCATACAATCCCAAAGCAAAGCCAGTATGGCAAAGAAACAGGCGATTGTACAGATGGTGAGACGACCATCAATTAGACCAAAATTCTCCACGTATTTCTATTTTTCCAGAAGTGCTTTTTTGCCAGAATCATCCAAAGAGTTTTTCACAGCTGATCCATCCCACTTGTCAATTTTTACAGGCTTATCATCTGTCTTCCACTTAACCTAACAAGCCGCTACGGCCACTGCCTGTCCCGCAGTTGGAACCACCGCCAGCCCCACTATTGCCTCCCAGACCACGGCTTCTCCTGCCCTGTGCAGCTCCGCCGCCATTTTGACCACCTCTGTGTCTCCCCCTTATATATTCTTGATTTCCAATAAGTTACCATACTTGAATTTCAGATCTTGCTTTATTTAAAAGTCCATGCTAATAATGCGTTTACATTTTTACAGTTACATTATGATACAAACTGTTGGATTTCTTAAGTATCTAAAACAAAAGCCCACTGAAGAAACAACTCTTTTAATTCCTTAGGATAAATATCCAGAAATTTAATAGCTAGGGCAGACTTCTAATTCAATACCAAAATTCCTTCCAAAAACCAAGTGGTTGCCAACTTATGTCCAGTAGCATTAAACATTCTTGAACCAATAGTATAAAAATACCCTGACAATTTTATAGGCAAACATTACTCAAGATATCCTACTAACCATTTACTACTAAAGTAACCCCCAAATACAGATGCTCCTCAACAGTGGGGCTACATCCTGGTAAACCTATCAAGTTGAAACTACCAAGTTGAAATGCATTTAGTACCCTGATAAATGTATCACAAAGTTGAAAATTTGTAAATGGAACCAGTGTAAGTCAGGGGCCATCTTCATACTCATGAAGCAACTACAGTGGGGTATTTTTCAACTTAAAAGATAGCCTAGGCTTGTTGAGACACTGTCTTAATTTACTGGCTCTCTTGTAATTAAGTCATAAATGGTCAAACATCAAATTCTAGAAAAGCATATATTTAAATTCTCATCACTATAATTCAAAATGACTGGTTTACAAAAATATGTTCCTAGTATTTGGGTAATAACTGTGGTGATTGTCTAAACTGGCAAGCTAAGTGGAATGCCTTAAAGAATATATCCAAGATTAGTTGGCAGATGTTTCCAGTGTAGGTAGATCAAAGGCCCACGAAGGTATGCTGAGCACAACCTAGTTCAGGACTTTGCCTCAACTAACATACTTCTTACTTTGGCAAGTTACTTGACCCTCCAGGTATCTAATTTTTCTCGATAGTCTGCTACTTATAAGATTGTCATTTTTTGTAATCTAGAAGCAATTACAGAGAATATTTTATTAGACTTAACTGCATAAAATAGAAACCAGTTTCATGATCTAGTTTAAGGGGTATTTTATAAAACTCATAATCCTTTACAAATAGAAAAAAATTAGTAATACACTGAATCAACTTGAAGAATCTTCAGTATAAACAAGTTCAACAAAGTCCCTTAGATGCAATTTCTTTTGGATTTACAGCAACACTTTTTGTTATGTTGTATGTCTTGTAAATTCCAATAAGTCTATCCGAAATCTCAAACATATTATTTCGAAGAGAAATTATTATGAACTGTGCATTTTTTGTCTGTTCCTAAAGAGAAAGAAAGAAAAGTCAAACATTAAGTAGTAACAGGTAAATCACACAAACATGTAACCTCAAATATTTTTTGGAAAATAAACATTGCATTGATAACATGTAAAGGAATGATGGCAGGAATAATTCATAAAACAGTATTTCAGCATGAAAGGAATTTGGTTATTTTGACTTCTAATGGAAAAGATCTAGGAAGATGACCTAGGATTCTAGCTGTGATTCTGCTAATTTGCATTTTTAAATTTATATTTTATTCCTCCAAAATGGAAGTATTTGGTTCAAATAAAAAATAATTTGGTCTCCACTGATACCAGAGGAGATGGGAGTTAGACAGTAAAGAAAAAGCTCAATAGTAAGAAATGAATAATTCCACGTGCAGTGTTTAGGATACCCCTAAAAGTTTCTGGAATGAAAATCCCAAAATGATTACTTACATATATATAAAATGCAACAATGGACACATTTTTAAAATCAAGGGCTGCATCAATCTCATCCATGAAGTAAAGGGGAGTGGGCTTGTAGTGGTGAAGAGCAAATACTAAAGCCAATGAACTAAGTGT